TGGGAACCATATAACCAAAGTACAAAAACTAGCTCTTAAAGTTCTAGGGAAGCAGTATTGGGACCCAACCTTATTTTCTAGTATAGGCAAGTGGCGACATGATTCAGTGCCCTTGGACTCCTACTCAGTTATAGGACCATTCTTTGTTCCAGCCTCAATTCCTCTCCTAATCTTAGAGCTCTGCTTTTGGTCTTTTACTTCTTTAGAGAATTTACCCTTCATGGTCTGTGCCCTGGCTACCATCAATGCTCTGGATCTGAAAAATGTCTCTATATCTCTCATTTCCAAACCAGATAAGATGAGAAAAAGAAAGAGACTATTAATTTTTTTTACATATATATTTAAATTGTTAATTTTGAATGCATGCTATAATGGAAATGCATGTTCATTTTCTTTAAAGTCCACAGACTTTTCCATACTTAACTGGTCTGTGTAGGCTATTCTAGGGAACCTATCATGAAAGATTGAATTCCTCTGGGAAAATATGTTTTTGGTAACTTTTTAGATGGTTAAAATGCCAAAACTTGCAGGAAAAGTACAAGGAACTCCCTTATAGATTTTTATTCCAATTAGGTACATTTACCCCATTGGTTCTATGTGTGTGTGTGTGTATGTTTGTATATACTAATACATCACACATAGATGAAAAATATATTTTGAATTTTAATTAATCTATAAACTTTTAGAGAACAAATAATTACCAAATTGAGGTCTGCTTACATACCGATAAAGACCACATTCTCTTTTTTGATTATTAATTTTCTTTAATTTCTATTATTTTCCTATAATAAAGGTTCAATTCCAGAAAGAAAAATTATTTACATCTTTATTTTCTTTATAAATACTTGTTTAACTTCATAACATTGTGAGACTACAACTATATTTCCCCAAGGCTTATGGTATTCTCCAATGGTAGGGTGGGTGTCTAATGAGACATTCAGTCCTGTAAGACACTAGAGGAGTGACTCTTAGGAAACAGAAACTACAGTAACATTCATAGAAGTGCTCTAGGGATACTGGAGGCCAACCAGCAATGACTTTTTATTCCCGATGTCACCAAGGGCTAGCCTGAGGACTAATGGACATAAAGGAGTTTTAAACTGAGACACTTCTTAGAACCCCAAATAAAATTATCTTTGGGGCTGCTAATACTGATTTTAAAACTAAAATGTTCATCGTCACCTTGTTTTAAAGTTGAACTCTTTAAAACAACTCTTTTCTTTGTAAAATCAAATTCTATGCAAAACCAAACTCTGTACACTTTTTAATTCAACAGAGAACTTAGACTGACATCATTAAAAAAAAAAATGATGATCCAGAAAAATGTCAAAAAATTCCCATAATGAAGTCACTGCCTCCTTTTCTTCATTCATACTAACAGTCTCTTTAAAGAATATCATTGAGATATTTCAACTAGAATTCAAATCTTCACATGCATATACTTAAGGAAACAAAAACTTGGTTCTTAGAACATGTACATACACAAAAATGTTCAATGCAGATATTTTCTTTTTTAAAAAATGAGCTACCACTGAAAAGAACAAGTCTTATTTTTCACTTCTGAATTTAGATTCTCTTCTTGAAATTTTATATGGCTCATCATAGCAATGGAATATGTCTGCTGAAGTATGTCCAAATTACTCCCAGTGCCTGTGCATGTGTGCAAATGTTTTACGGCTGCCCTTTATGGGTCCTCTGGATGCTTACTTTACTTCCATGGTGCTATGGCTAAATTAAATTAGGATGACATTATTGCATTTTACTATAGGCCTCTTTCATCCTGAATATTTTATTATATGATATTAAAATGCTAATATGAATTAAAATAGCTTTTAACCTTGTATAGAATGAGAACAATGTCAAACAAAAAGAAATATTTATTGTTATGACACATACTGTTATGGAGAATACTTTTAACTTCAAGAACTAAAAGTACTTTTGATATATACAGAACAACTATTTTATATTCATATCGCATGTAACCCCTAATTACTTATTTCTAAAAAGAAAAAAAGGAAGAAAGTGTCACAAAGGAAGAAAAAAAAACCTCAGGTTGTTTTCTTATATAAGCTAACAGTTCAGTGAAAAAATGTAATACAATGCACAGCTGAAAGATTGGAAGATTAGTGATATCAAAGAATGTAATTTCTATTCAAAAAGCACTTTTTAAGGCAACACTATCACAAACACACTTTAATAATCATGACATTCCACCAGGGCACAAGACTGCAGGTGACTCCATCACTTTGGAGAGTTGACTACAATTATGTGATATATCTACAACGTGCTGAATTTTGAGTACAGGTAGCAGGTGATCATTATATAACAGAAATATCCACCCAAATGTTACCTTTTGAGGTTTCTTAAAAAAAAAAAAAAAAAAAGAGCCCAGAAGAGTATTCAAGAGTGTTTAAAAAGAATACCTAATTGAATACGCTCTCATCATGTACATGGGAGAATGAATAGATGGTGACTTAGCTCCTGAAATTTTAATGCTGCTCTTTAGCCACCTGCAGTCCTAAAGTGCTTTCAGAAGTTCTACACATTCTCAAAGGAGTCAGACCCCAAAGACTAATGAACAGATATTTAGTCTGCTAATCTATTCCTGATGCTTTGCCTAAGAAGTTGGCATTGCTATCTCCAACATCTTTTTTTTGAAACCATGGCTTTGAATTTGTTCCTTGTTGATAAGCATCCAGAAAATGACAGATTCCAGGAATTTCACTGGGGAAGTTTGGTGGAAGTTCTTCCCTTGATCGAGGGGTAAACACAAAACCAGGACAGTCTTTGAGCAATCTGTGGAGATTAAAATCAAAATATTAAAAATTTATACTAGTATAAATATTTGTCCACTCAAGAAGACAACATAACTACATGAATATTGCTGGAAATAGTAATAACCCAGCCATGTTAGGTGTGATTGAGAGAAAAATATCTAACATTGTTAACAGACACCTTCAAAGAAGTACCATGAGGAACTAATTCACAATAACAAGAAAATTCTATTAACTGGAGTGTTTCATCCCTGTTGGGAAAAAAAAAAAAAGTAAATATTTTTGCAAAGACATAATCTAAATAACAGTGCAATTCACCATATTGAATAAAAACTTCAAAATAATCCAAAGGTCTAATAATAGCAAAAAACCCACATATAATTAGAATGGTATTGAAAAAGGCTTCCTAAATTTAAACAGATAAGACACTGTCCATTTATCAATTCATTAATTTTGGAAATATCACTGGGAAGTAATGATGAGCAAGAAATTTTGAAAGTAAAGTCAAATGATAAAAGGAATGTGAGAACAACATCTGAATCTTCCATAAGAAGTTTTATGAATTCTAGATTAGTAAGACTCCCATGAGATTTAATTGTAAATACCAGCACTGTACTTACTGTTAACAACATTATTTTTTCTTCTTAATCTGTTCTACCAAATTATATTATTTGTTATTCTCTGCTTGTCCATTAAGCTAAATCCATTTTAAATTCTAATTTTACTTATTAAGTTACCGGCACCTCTTCTCATTTGCTTTTTCTCAAATGCAAATTTAATAAGCATTCTCTCTAATCTACTCATCAGCCCATGGATGAAAAATGTTGAATAGTTGTGGCTCTTAGCCAACTTCTACAGAAAATCATTTATCATATCTGCCAAATCAGACCATGGCCTTCTAACTCACCAGTATGTGATGCCATGTCTAAATGAAATAGAATGATGTTACTGCATTAAATGTTGGTACTGTGACAACTTCTATGGGCTGAAGAAACCAATTGAATAGAATCTGTATCTCAAGAGTTTCAGTCTTGCGTAGACTACAACTTGGTATTCTATTAACCATTTTTATCAGTACATCAATGAATATGTAATCTGCAAAATATTAAAACTAATGAAAATGTGCTTTAGTCATGAGTTCATAAATATTTTTTAGCAACTATTATTAATAAGGAAATATTGAGGAAAATAAAATAAAATAATGAGGAAAATAATAGAAAGTTACAGAAGTACATAGTATTAAAACTATATGCTTCAAAGTCTGATAAATCTAGGCTTAAATGGCATGAAAGATGTCTTTTGTCTAGTCTTTACACTGGAAATAATAATAGTGCATATCGGGTGGCGCCTGTGGCTCGATGAGGAGTAGGGCGCCGGCCCCATATGTTGGAGGTGGTGGGTTCCAACCCCACCCCAGCCAAAAACTACAAAAAAAAAAGAAAATAATAATAATAATAATAGCACATATCCCATAGGACTGTTGTGAAGATCAAATAAATTGTAAGCTATACCCAGTTTCAGCCTTATTAAACATCAATTAGCCACCCAAATGGGTACTAACCACATTTCCCCAGCAGCCTTAGTCAGTTTTCTGTGATTAATTAATTTAACTACCATTTTCCCCAAATTACTGCATAAACTCTTCCTGCTTTCTATCTCCTATATTCCTTTATTCATTGGTTCTTTCTTATAAAATTCAAGTCTATGCAACCATAAAGAAAGATGGAGACTTTACGTCCTTCATGTTCACATAGATGGAGCTGGAAAATGTTCTTAGCAAAGTATCACAGGAATGGAAGAAAAAGTATCCAATGTACACACACCTATTATGAAATTAATTTAAACCTTTTTATATGAAAGCTATAACCTAATAACAACCTAAGGATACGGGGAGGGGGTAGGGAGGGGGAGAGGGTGGAGGGAGAGGGATTCGAGGGTTCACTTCTGTGGTTCATCTTACAAGGGTACAAGTGAATCTTTTTATGAGTAGAATATGAATGTTTTAACACAATAACTAAGAAAGTTACATGAAGGCTATGTACCCCCAAAGTGCATCAATGTACACAGTTACCATTCAATAAAAAAAAAAAAAAGGAAAAAAAATTCAAGTCCTGATTCTCCAGCTCTATGTTCTTGGACTTCTACAAATAAGAGTTCCCAGATTTGTTTACCACCTCAAACTGGGCAGCATCCACGTATATCTCCACCTTTCTTTTTTTTATTCAGCCTCCGTAGAGACTGTTAAAAATTGCCAGTGCCGGCAACATTTCAAGTTGTCATGGAGGGGTGCTGGGAAAAGTTTTCAATTAGCAATAGTCGCACCTCAGATAAACCTCATTGACTATAATACTGCCACTGCGCAAAGCTCCCACCTCCCATTTTTGTTTTTCTTGATCTCTGGATCACCACATAAACAGCTACAATTAATCCATTGCCCTGAAACTTATGTCTCAACAAACTTATGAAGCAATATATCTCATATTCCTTGCTCCAAAAAAAACAAACAAAAATACAAAATATTGTCCCCTAAAATTAAGTAAAACTCCATGCAACCATTTAAAAGAAAAGAATGCATAGTTGTCATTAAAATCTTACATTCCGAATCACTGGCTAAAATTTGGAAACAGACATTTGAACATAAGAACTTTTTGTGTATGTGTATGTATTCTGTGGCCTAAATGTACATAAAAATATCAAGGAAAGCTACATTTAACGTTAAACATTATTTTATTATTAGAGAAATGTCATTTCATAACCCAATGTATTGCAAATAAGTTCTCAAAAGAAATAATTGCCTTTTATGATTTCACACCTTCAATTAGCATTAATTCCTTGCAAAACTTAAACGTAAAACTAGAATCATGTCCCTATGATTAATTAAATTTCACAAAGCATGGATGTTTGATTGGAATGTAAATGATTTATGCCCTTTTAAGGTTTTCTATCATATAGAAAAAAAGTACTTCTAAAAGAAAGGATTTTAAAATGTTAAAAATATTTAACATTAAGTATTTATTTCCTGCTTAAATAAAACATATTAACCATTGCCTGCTCTTCAGTCAAGGCATAAATATCTCATATATGAAAATAAAAATGAATTATTATTCAAATCAATATAAAGGGAAAAAAGCTGTATCATCTATGTCTATAAACAATACAAAGGACTTTAGCAAATGTGCTGAATTTCAATCTAAATTGAATTAAACTTTAAATATCACTATATGTGTGTCTATAAACATACAACTAAGAAAAATGAAAAACAAAAATGTTAAGTTATCATCTCTAGATAGGGAGATTATGATTAGTTTTACTAATTTATGACTTTATAATTTTCTAAAAAGGATATATTACTACGGTAGTAAAAATATTGACACACCCCCCCACACACACTATTTGTGGTGTAAAAACCTGCCCGGCTAGTAACACTGCGACCTTTGACTTCTTCAGTCCCTGTGAGAAATCTCTCATTCTAATTTGGCCAAGCTAATTTGAATATGTCAATTAGTCACCCAAGTGGACATACAGAATAGGATATGTGAGTCTGTAGTTCCAGGGAGAATTATGGGATGGGCTAGAGAATTTTTTATTTTTAAAGTGAGAATCATAGAAGTTCAGATGCAGAAGAGAATAGGGACAGAGCTCTGGGCACGTGACATTCAAGGTCTGGTAGGACAGGAGTGCCAACAACGGATGTTGAGATGATGTAGATGTGGGGAAATGAGTGTGGTGTCACAAAATCTAAGACAGAGAACGTTTAAAGGGGAGAGTGCTCAGGCTATTCAACCGCTGCTGAGATACCGATGAGATCAGGAGGGAGAGTTGCAGCTTAGCCAGGTACAATGATGACCTTGATAAAAGCACTTTCACTGGAGTGGAAGGGACAAATACTGATTGGAGTGAGAGAGTGAAAAACAACACAGATCATGAGTACAGAAAACTCCTTTAAGTTTTGCTGTAAGATAGAGCAGAAATCTGAGGTGGTAGCAAGATGTAGATTTAGAAACTAAGGTAATGTAAACTAATGTGATGGAGTTTTTATTG